TAGTTTTCATTGGAGGTATCGATTTTATCGTGTAGCTGACGTCATTCGCGCAAATGAACTATCGCGCATTTAAGTTTTCGCGCAAGTGGCCATTCGCGCAAATGAACAATCGCGCATTTAAGCTTTCGCGCAACCGTCTTCGCATTATCGTCATTCGCGTAATCGGCATTCGCACTCACGTAGTGCACCCCACGAAAGAGCCTCCCCGCACGACGTACCGTTCTATTCACATACGTCTGGCGCACCCTGGCCATCGATCGCATTAGCAAATCCTTTCAACACGATGGGATGCCTTATAGTGCATGCCATCGATATGATAATAAGAAGAATACAAACTTACACAAAATAAAACTGAAACGGATACCGTAAGCGCCCAGTTACGCGACGCGAAAGCTTCGCGCGGTCGCCGCGAGGCGACGCTTTCACGTACATTAATGGCGAATCTGAATTCTATTTACTAGGCAACAACATTTAAATTCCTTTGAATAATACAACCACGTGACCGGGATGCTCATTTAAGTTAAAACGTAAAAGCTAATATTATAGGAGACGGAAGGTAAAATATTTTGTCGCTCAATGCTGATCTTTAAACCAAAAGCGGTACACCAAAGTATATTTGTCGTTCGTTAAATCACTATGAACTACGTTCGTTAAAACACTATTAAGAAATATTTTTACCGGATACCATGTATGATTGTTTAGTACGTTTCAACACGCGTGATGGCAAGGAATTAGACCAGCACTCTGCCAACACCTGCTCGCATAGTACAGACGACAGCACATCGAGATACACATTGACGGAGCTTGTTCCGTTGGAAGCGATATTCGAACAAAAGACGGACTCCCCAACTCATTACATGGTATGCTAATGTGTAGCGGGCTGGTATCCCTAACTCGATGAGTAAGCGTCTATTTTGCGTGTAATTTATTATAATATTAAAGCATGAAACACACAGACATCGGGTGCGGGTAAGGTACGGGTCACCATCGCGCCTGCGCCCGGTGTATTGTCGTCCATATAAATACAAGGAATTAGACCCGCCGCGGTCCCAACTCGACCCGCGTCCAACTCACGCCCGACCCGCACCCGCTCTCTGTGTTTCACGCTTTACGGCGCAATAGTTTTACCCTTAAGCTCCATACCTGTGATTTAATAAACATAAAATAGGTAAAACACGTCTAAAAATAACAATTTTGCCAATGACCGTAGCCGTAGAACATAAGGCACATACGTGATCAATACCGTGATGAATACCTGTTTATACTATTGACAAAGACTTCAATCTACTGATAGATATCGTTGCAGTCCAAAGTAATAGTATAAATGCGAAAGTTACTCTGTATGTTACTTTGTCACGCCTAAACTGCTGAAGCAATTGATGAATTTTGGTATAAAGATTGATTGGTGGACCTAGGAGAAGAACATAGGCTACTTTTTATCACAAAAATAAATCTTAAAGGGGTTGAAAGAAAGTCGAAAGTTTGTATGGGAAACGAATAAAACTATGAAAATTAGTACACTAAGCTACTCGAAGTTACTACTACTTCTGTGCAGACGAAGTCGCGGGCAGTAGCTACTGGTCTTATATATCATTGTATCGTTGACTATTATATTGCTATAGATCTTCGCGTATGGCATTTTAGCCAAAGATGCACTTATTTATGGCCGTAGAGAATTTAATGACTAGGAGTTTATGCCTCTGACGTCGTGTCGCCTTGTAATATTTATGTTTAAACAAGGTTTAAACAGTGAAAACGTCAAAGGTTTTTTTACATAATATTTAATAGTATTTTATTTGATAAAATTTTGTAAGGTTTATTATTTTACTTCGTATTGTACTTCTTTTGCACGCGTTTTGTAATTGATATATTTTACATAGCATGAACATTTCGTATATTTTTAATTTATTTTTGTACCAGTTAAGATGGGTAATTGCTGTTCTTGGATTGCAAATTGTATATACTATGCCCAGAAGTAAGTGATTTATTTACTAATGACCAACAGGTAACTTTATGAGGTTATACTGAAAGATCCTCCTCATGTACAGGGTTAAGAGCACGTCAAGCTTTACACTTAAGACTTAAATCCAACTCTATGCCGCTTACGATAAGAAAGGTCCAAAGTACACAGTGTCAAGCTTGATGTGCTCTTGGCTGTATGTAATGCAGCGTGGCGTTACATTGGGCACTAATTAATAAAATTTCGTATGACATTGGTAAGTAATTGTGAAGCGGAGCACAAATGCGAGCGGACTTTGTAAAGTATTTCATCGCTTATGTGCGCGATGCATGTAGCTCACAACACATTGGTTCCTTCAAAAAATCATGAAAATAACCAATAAACGTTAATCGATCAAATCAATCAATCAAATCAATCAATCAAATCATTTACTTGCTAGAAACATAATGGTCAAGATAACAAATAATAGAATAGGTACAAACACGTTTCAAAACAAAATATTCTAGACATGCAAAAAATTGGTCGTCACATGATAACATTAATTTTATGTATAATTAATAAAATTAATGTAACAATTAATATATCAGTAATAATAGTAAATTAATTCCAATTCGTTTATATAACAATATTTATTGAATAAGTTCTTTAATACTATTATAGTATTAAAGAACTTATTCAATAAATATTATTTATTTTATTTTATTTAAACACTTTATTGTACCACAAAGTAACTTACAAATTTTCAGAAACAATTTAAATATATATTTAAATATTGTACTTTATCTTTCAACTATTTGTATAATTTTGTTTTAAATAATTTTATGGGCAAGTCTTTAATGTCATTTCGTTCTGGTACTGTTATAAATTGTAACACACAAACACACACACAAACAATTTTGGTTATATTTCTACATCTTAGGTACTTTAAAAAAGAGTAGTGTGTTCATTGACTTACAAGTTGGATCTTTATAACTTCGAGGGTTAATGTCAATATTTGTGATAAATATGTTATGTATATTGCTTTTTACAAAAATAATAGTCTCATAAATGTATAAGGCAAGCAAAGGTAACAAACCAAGATTTTTTCAAGAATATAAGTCTACAGGAGCTGACTTACCTGTCATTGCACGCATACATTTTTTTTGTGCTAATGACACTCTCTTTATGTTTGTACCACTTCCCCAGATAAGAAATCTATGACGTTAATACACGTAGGCATCTGCACAGGGATCGAAATGCAGGTTCTTGCTCTGATCAACCACTCTATTATCACTACCAAGCAGCGTACGATCTAGGCTAACTGAATCTATCTAATATCTTCGCCACTAACAATAATGGGCGAAGTTCATTTATCACAATACTCCGTTGTAAGTTGAAGTCATTTTGTCGGACGCTTAGCCGTCAAGCCGCACTAAGGCTCGGCGCGTTGTTTGAAGCTCAGCGCGGGGCGTGCGGACTCTAGATGTCAATAGGAAAATTTGATTATTTATATACGTAAATTAAAGGACCTCTGTATTACCCAAGCTGACCATTTTGTCAAGACTTTTGTCGTGGACAATGCAGCATTTTTTACTCATAGGAGTAAAAAGTTTAACCCTGAATCTAGCTTAAGTTTGTATTTTCCTTTTTGGGTCCGTTTGTCGCGATATTATCGGGATAGCGTTGTCTTGGTCTGTACCTACATCATTAACCCATTTATGCGTCCACTGCTGGCCAACAGACGCTTAGGCGCTTCTCCTCTCCTCTCAGGCGCTTAAGCTACTATGGGCTCTTGTGATGTATTTCTAAGAAAGCACTAATTAAAAGTGCTAATGGAGCGAGAGGGTGCTCCACTGGTACCCACGACTGACCCGTAGGCCGCGAGGGCGGCCGCGCCGACAGTGGAGGGACGATATCACCCAGGTGGCGGGGGTAACGCGACTAGCTGCGGACAGGGATGAGTGGCACAGGATGGAGGAGGCCTACGTCCAAAGATGGGCTTTCCAATAAATTTTAAATCGCATATTTAAATTTGAAATTATAATTCTAATTTCATTTTAATTTAATTTACTTTAATTTAATTTTAATTCTGCATGTTTTGTATAAATGGAATTTTGTTTTTGATTTATTTTTTTTTGGAATAAAGGCTTATTATTATTATTATTATTACTAATTAAAAGTTACGTTTAATTGCAGGCTTTCTTACTGTATCGCTTTGTTGGCCGTTACGAGTTGTCTTTTGGTAACCATAGTGGTCACTCTAGGGGTTGGCATAGGGATGGGCTATCACTACGCAGTCGTTGAACATAAGACCCTTGAACTTAAACGTGAGTGAACTCTGTACGTTTTTTTATTATAACAAATAACGAGACGAACAAGTTGAACCTTGGTGGTGATTTTTTGATCCGATATACCCACAGGTAAATTTTATTTTGGTGCCAGATGTAGTACTGGCAGTCTTATTGGAGGTAACTTGCGCTCCGGGGACATACGTCGGAAAATTATCATGTGCACGCAGATGTACGCAAATGCTAGCAAACAAAACTTAAGAGATACCAAGTTGCATGTTGACTAGTGCTTATACATTTTAAAAGGTTTCGGAAAAAAAACTT